AAAGCATGCAGGGAAACAAATTCGTCGTGTTGTTGATTGCAGGTCTGTGTGTTGTTGCAGTGAATGCTAACCGTCAAGGCAACAGGGGGAATGGTGTTCAATCAGTTGGAAATGAATATTCGAGTGTGTCTGAACAGTTCGGTCAATTGTCTGGAGGCGGGGGATATCTGTCTTCAGTATTTCGACGTCAACAGGGTGGTAGACAGAGATCTGGTCAGTCGTCATCAGGCCAATCAGGACAGCAACAGCAACAACAACAACAGCAACCACAAGAACAACAGCAACAATCGAATGTGGTGAAGAGGAAGATGATGTGTCAGTGTGAGAGTGAGGCGCCTCGAGGCCACCCACCTGTCAGGTATGACGCCTTCACTGAAGGAGACTACAACAATGGCTACGTATTTACTGAAGACCCATCTGGAAGCTATGAAGGCGAATATTTTACTGTTAAGTAGCGTCAAATCCATTGAGGAGTCATGAAGAAAATCAAAAGACAAATACAGCGAAGAAAATTTTCTTTATCGACAAAGTCATCTTCTTAGCCTGGTTGTACAGTCGTATTTATACTTACCAAAAGTGTATAGTGTTCTGTTATTGAGTAGTAGATGGCATGGTGACATAAATGATATAATTACCCGGAAGTGGTTCGAAAACTAAAGAGCTCAACAGCTCCATTCATGCCATTCAAGTGATGTCTGACTCAGTGAGGAACTCGGAATTCCATTTTTTTTTGATGTTTTTTCTAAAAAGACCGAACTACAGGAAACCAACATGGTCAGCATACAAATTTTTACAGTTGGGTCCCTTTGAGAAGAAAGAGAAACCTGATCCACTCCTTATCCTCAACAACAAGGAGGATATGTTCCAGTGATACAGTTGATTGGGAACTGGATCGACTCAGACAAGTCCTCATAGAGAATGGATATCCTCCAAGATTTATCGAGGAGAACATGAAGTTAAGGGAAAAGACTGGAAAAAACCCAGACATTGTTGAAGAAACTTCTATTTATGAGCGTTGAATTTAACGGTGATACCGTAGTTGAGATTCTGATGAATCGCTTATGTAGATAATTTAGGAAAGCCTTCCTTATGGCTGAGCTACGTATCAATTTTTATGGTGAAAAAAATGATCAATGGATATGTGAAGGGTAAACTGCCCTCGCTTTAGGCCACCTCAATGTGTACGTTTATGGATTCACCTGCTCGTGTGGAGCTAGTTATATTGACCGCACAAAGCGCACACTTTCCAAACGCATCTCTGAACATTATCCAGCATGGTTAGCAAAAGGACGATTACGAGCTAAGATCTCGAGCATTTGGTGAACTCAGGTCACGTAGCTTCACCAGAGTTATCTTTCAAGATCATTTACAAGGTGAAACCAAATGGTACAAAGGGTATCAGTTTTCGGCTTTTGTGTATTTGGAGGCGCTGTCAATTCGTCAATACAACCCCGAAATCTGTATACAGAAAAAGTTTGTCCAGTCTTTTATTCTACCTTGGTCTTAACCTCTTCACTAATCGTTCCCTGTAAAAATTTTGATTTCTGCTTTTACTGTTGTAACTATGCTTTTAGTTTGCTTTTGCTTTAATAATTAATTCACTATTGTCACTCTGATATGTTCCTTTTGTACATTTTTACACCCTCTTCACACTTGTTAAATTGACACTCAACTACTTTTAATCTCGGTCAATAGCAGTTTTAATCTTATAGAAGTTCTAACTTTGGGCCGTTGAGTACCACGTAATTTACAACTTTAATTTTCACTTCTAAAGCCACTTCCGAGTAATTATATCAATTATGTTAACCCATATTACTCAATAATAAACCACTATACACTTTTGATAAGTATAAATACGACTGTACAGTAAGGCCGTGAAGACGATTTTGTCGATAAAGAAAATTTTCTTCGCTGAATTTGTCTTTTATTCTCTTAATGACATAGCTGTTCAGTGGTGCCTCCCTGGTTTGCAGTGTTCTCTGTAAGTGATGTTGTTTAGTGACAGAAGTCTTACAATCGCCATTTACATGTTAATGTTGTACACAATGTCATCCGTAGATGTAAGAGGCTCGGAAATTTTCAAACCAGCCCATTAACAATAAACCGTTATTCATGAAGCCTTTCTCCAGTCTAGATTCGAATTAAAATGTGATATCATTAGTGAGGTTAAGAGGCAAAATTTACCGTTATTATGCATCTTCAAATCCACATACACAGTGTATCCTCATTGCTCTCCGTTCTCTGCGATCATTTCCGCAGGACTCAATCACCTCACACATCCTTTTAATTTTCTTTTCATATCATATTCTCCATTTCATGGACAGAATACTAGACTATTGACTCTCAGTGGTATCCCACTTGACAGCTTTACGTCTGATTTCAATTAGCAGGTTTTCTGCACTATCAAAGTTCTTTGTTGCTCATCGGTCTCAGTAAGCCGACTGATACTCAGTGTTGAATGATCTGGATTTCGCGGATGATTTACATCTAATATCACACAAACTTGCAGACTTACAGACGAAAACCAAAAAACTGTCTGAAGAGGCAGGTAGGCAGCAAAGACAAGAATTCAGGTGAACATAAAGAAGACGGAGGCAATGAAAATCAAACAAGCAAATACAACAAGTGCCATTCACTAATAAAAGGAGAAATTTGAAAGACGTCACTTCTTTCACCTGTCTGGTTAGTATCGTTTCAAGTACAGTTAATTGAAACTGATGAGCATGGTAAAAACCAGAGATGGAAAGTCAAGGCAAACCTTCATCATTTCCAGAACAGTTTGAAAATCTTCTGCATTCAGCACAAAGGACATGATCCGGATTCTCGACACAAATGTGAAGTCAACCACCTCTTACATATGTATCAGAAACATGATGCGTCCGTGACGAAAAGTATTTCCATAACGCTACAGTAGACTTTTATCAATGGCTGACTCCTTTGCTGTCGCTATTTGAACATGAAATAGCCAGTCAGAAGGAATTATCAACAAAAAACACTGGAAAGGAATTCACCAAGAACCAATTAGTTAAAAAATGTGCTGAAAAAGGTGGAGATTTATCGAGCACATGCTGACGAGACAGTCGAATGACACCGCGCACCAGACCATAGCTTGAGTGGAACTTAAATGTGACAAGATGAGTTAGGCAAGGGTCTGAGGGTGACATGCAGGGGGTCTAGGGTCCAGAAAAAGTGAACCAAAGAGAGCAGTATCAAACTGAGATGTGCTTCTGAGGCGCTGTTTCCCAATCGAAACGCAAGGGAACAAAAGTAATATTATTATATGATAGAAAGAAGTCTGCTATTGATGAACTTCAGCAGAAGGTTATTGAAATGCTGTATGGAAATGGTGTCAGCGATGAACGCGAGAACCCTCTGAGACAAATACAAGTAATGAGTGATTTAGATCTCTCTACTGATTTAAAGTGGAGAAAATTCTCGTCTGCTTTTTACATCCTAAGTGAGGCACAAGCTGAGGAGACTGTCGAATAACACTGCGCGCCAGCCTATCGCTTGAGCGAAATTTCAGTGGTAAACGACAAGTTAGGAGTGAGTCTGAAGGTGATATGGAAGATATCGTGGTGAGCGGAGAACAGAGACTTGGTGAATTAAAAGGACTGTAGAGAAGAGGTTGAAATACACATGAGCCGTTGCAGCTCCATGTTCCACTACTAATCTAAGGGAATAATGATTGATTAAATATGCCCATTAAAATTTTCAAAACGATGGTTACACTGAACAAAGAATATTCTTTTCAATAACCTGCTCTTCATTAGATATTACAGTTATATGCATCCATAGTAGTGAATGAATGAATTAGTGTCATCAACAACAACATTAATGTTGTTTAAATAACATCGAATCAATAACAGTACTATCAGTGGGTTGCGGTTCGAAGAAGATTTTCGCTACAAACTTTAGTCAGGTTACAGGTGCACACTGTCAAACAGTGCCAAACTGAGACAGAACAGCTTCCTAGCGTCTTCTGTCTTTCAGTGCTTCTCCAACCGATATCCTCCTGCGACGAAATCTAACTAAGGATAGAGGATTTTTTTGGAGTGGTAAACAAGAGTAGTGAGTAACTGTGAACAACACAACATTCCAGTGTTATCCAGCCATCCATGTTTAGAGAGAGGCAGGCGTTTGGCTTCATATATATATATCACTCAGAAATAATCCCTATTCGACTAATGTACGCCTAATTGACATTAAATGTCAATCTAAGATGTGAGGATGGACTAATCATCTTCGATGCGATCAGTCAGATAGTGAAACACTGATCTGCAGAGATTTGTTATGATTAGATACAAGACTTCGTCATGAGCTGATATCCGTCAGAGAAACATTGAAGAAACCCATGGGAGTATAGGCTAGCGAGTTCTTTCTTCCTAGCTTGGAACATTGAGACAGTACGAACCCACCACCAAGGTTCGGCCCCCTGCGAAATGTCTTCGAATTTATCTTCAGTCACATCAAATCGTTCATCAGGATACAGTGAATATCAGTTCAGCATTATCGTACCACAGTATTTACATTGCTTAAATGGCTCACAATTGGGAAACACGCCTACTATCAGCGTGTTACTTCAATTTCTGAATCATACATACCAAAAGGCTGAGTAAACTCAGTCAAAATCAGTCAATAAACAGAACTCTCAACCAACACATCCTTAGATACTACGGTTAGCAAAGTCACCTAGTTCCCCAGAAGATCTCATGAACTGATTTAACAGCTCACAAACTCATTGACAATTCGAGTCAACCTGTTACCCACCCACCAAAAATGCATACACACAACCACTTCCATTTCACAATCGAGAAAACGCATTTCAATCATCGAATTGAAATCATTTTATTTAACCGGGGAGACTAATCAATAATAAAGAGGAGAAAATCTGTGCAAAATATGAGACATTATCCGTGCAACATATCTGCATCAGAATTCGCCGGTATACATTCATGCTTTTCAATGTATTATGGCGTGAGATGGAAGGACAAGGATACTTAAGCCAGATGACGCTTCCTAACAGTATAATATTCACCTTCATAGCTTCCAGATGGGTTTTCAGTAGGTTGGTAGTCATAGTTGTAGCTTTCTTCAGCGAAGTTGTCATACGTGACAGGTGGATGGACTCGAGGCGCCTCACTCTCACACTGACACATCATCTTCCTCTTCACCACATTCGATTGTTGCTGTTGTTCTTGTGGTTGTTGTTGTTGCTGTTGCTGTTGCTGTCCTGATTGGCCTGATGACGACTGACCAGATCTGTGTCTACCACCGTGTTGACGTCGAAATACTGAAGATTGATATCCCCCGCCTCCAGACAACTGACCTAACTGTTCAGACACACTCGAATATTCATTTCCAACTGATTGAACACCATTTCCCCTGTTGCCTTGACGGTTAGCATTCACTGCAACAACACACAGACTTGCAATCAACAACACGACGAATTTGTTTCCCTGCATGTTTCGTTGTGTGAGTGAACCTGTGAAAGAGAAAGGAAAGACAATATGAAAATATTGGAAGAAGCCTCGCTGTCAAATCTGACTGGCGTTATCCACGTCTACACTATGCTCTCTCCGCGAAATCACTACTACACTGCAAAGCATAATAGCTATGCTAAATGGAATTCGACGAGGTGCATACATACTTCAGTAATTCAGCTCCTCTTATAAACATGTAAATACACAAAATGGTAACAATAATGAAACCACGATAACTGAAATTTACTAGAATATAATGAGTGATAGGTGAGTAGTGCGATTCCATCTGATGAGCATTTAGCATGAACGTCGATGTACGCGTTCAGCTCCGTGTGTGATTTTGGCTGACAAGCGAGTCTGTGTTAAGCTGCCTCCCTCTTGTCTAAATATATATTCACGCTGCTTGGAGAGGGATCAAAATATCTGAGCACTTCACAATATGGGATTCTTAGCGTTTAGTGAATGGGGCATGATATGTATTGCATTGAGTATGTGTCAGACAGAATGTAGTGAAAGATAAATGCATCGATACTTACCTCTCTGTCACTCGACCGATCTGATATGTTGATCGGTTGAATTCTTCTCGCATATTTATACTGATATGTGATTTGTTTTCTATAGAAACCGTTTGTGTGTGTGAGATGTGGGCTATTGGCCATCATATGCACGGGACAATCTGACTGTAGACTGTAATTGTCTCTGATTATTTGCACAACGAATAATTATGACCTGCATTTTGACAGACAGATTGACGCATATTTTTTGTTTACGTGCATTTCAGATCTGGTAGGCTTCGATACTACGAGTATGATACAACATACTGGTACTAATGATCAGGACAAGTGTTTAGGGAAGTTAATGCTATCAACTGGTAGATAAACGCCTTTATCTTGTCGAATATTCATCGCTAATGCTAAAAACATAACAAAGAATGTTGTCACGTAGGTTGACATAGCAACTTAAGAAGATTATACTTCATCAAATTGAGAACTTCTTCAATGAACTGATATCACTAATATGGTTGATCTATCAGTGTAATCAAAATGTAGTTCCCAAGGGAGTCAGAGATTGATTATACTCTCTTTCTGTATGCACAAGTCTGGTTTAAAATGCTTGATTGCAATCACTTCAGAAAATCGTAGTAAATTTCCGTGTCCATTGTATGTGTGATATTTTGAAGGATTTGGAAATCTCGAAAACATGACCGGCGATATCCACAAGATGTTTAGTAATTGCACTTGGCGAATGTCTGCTTCATTTTAGACATATGTATCTCCGGACATGCTGTGAAAACCAGATAGAAGCCCTGCCTTCTTTCTGTACTTCAAATGTGCTTACTCTGGCAAATGCACGCTACTGGTGGTTACATCATCAGGTACTTGTCCATGTTGGATAGGCTTATATAGCATGTGATGCTATATAACAGTGTTATGAAGTTAGATGCAGGGAAGCATCTTTTTACTGCTCCGTCCATTGTTTTTTTCATTTTTTTGTGATACTGCTTCTCCTTTGTGAATGAGAGACAAATGAACACCATCTTCCCGCCTACCACAGTTGGACGTTTCATTTTCTTGTCGTTTGCTTGCTAGACTTTTGCATAAATCCCTTCGGACACACACAAACCCCTAGACATTGTTCTACTTCCACCTTGTTAGGCGAACACAACTTCTTGTCTCTGTCCCACAGTGTCCTTACTAATTCACACCTAAACCTTGTCGGAGAGAAAGTGTTGTAATGAAGATATTGTGCAGTCCAGGTTTCTTTTCTGTAGTTTGATTTTTCGTCAGTACCTTTCTTTCTTCTTCTTACATCAAGATCGAGGAAATCGAACTAATGTTATTGTTCGTATTCCATGAGAATTTCAATTTTTGGGTGCATCACATTGAGATGGTCATATAACACAGATGTCTGACTCCCGTCGTTACAGACAACTAAGGTGTCATCGATGTATATCAGGGATAATAGGTTGTTCCACTGATGTCATAAGTCACTCAACAGCATCTGTTCAAGATCACCCATGAAGATATCGGTCAGAATATGTTGGAGAGTTGAACCAATAGCGACCACACTAATTTTTCAGTAAGATTAGTTGTTAAATTTGAATTGGATGTCTTCTGAGGAGAGAAGTAGTAGACGCTTCATCTCTGTTTTTAGCAGTGAAGATAGATGTCGATTGTTTCGATTACTAGTACATTTGTGAATGGAGCAGTCATATCATACGACACCATTAGTTTATTTGATATATCAACATGGTCCATTTCTTTAGGAAACTAGGAGGCATATTTCAAGCTATGAATTCGTAAAATTATTTCTCATGGGCTCTAATGAATCAGCTAACCATCGAGCTAGCCTGTGGCCTGTTGATCTGATCATTGATAATATGGGTCTTAAGATAGGGCAAACTGGCCTTATGTAATTTCGGTGGATGGTATATAAAAAGGAGACGTACATCTTTTGCTTTCAGTTGATCAAACGTTTCGAGGTTGATCAATTTCTTGGTGAAGAGTTCTTTGAGGCACTTATTCACTTTATTTTCAGATGAAGTTGTTGCATCCCTTTTTAGTTTTTTACAGCTTAAATTTCCACTGATCGTTAAGAGCTGTCATCACTTTTAATTATTCAATCAAACTTGTTCCTCATAACAACGCCACAGCATGTATCAAGTGTAAACCTTGACGATCTCACCATTTTCATCTTCTGTTGATTTCACTAGACAAGCCCTCGAGTGGAACCCGGAAGGGAGGCGGCGAGTCGGTCGTCCAAGGGTGACTTGGAGGAGGTCATGCGAGGAGGAGATGAAAGCATGTGGACAGACCTGGAGCAGGGTGAAAAAGTTGTCAGAAAACAAAGGCAATGGAGGTGAGCAGCTGAAGCCCTATTTTCCTCTAGGAACTAAAGGATACAATAATAATAATAATGATGGGTGGTGTTAGTTGTCTATATCAACTAGTCGGGAATTTAACCATCCCCAATTGTTGGAATTCTAACTACTATCCACGCTGTCCTCTTTCCTGCACTTAAACATTAGAATGCTACTTGCTTAGACATTTCATCAAAAGCGATTAGTAACTTCAAATAATGTCTCAGTGTCTTCAATCAATTCATACCTCTGACAATGAAGCTTAGTACTTGGAATATCGAGAGCAGAGTCGCCTAATCATACGTGAAATTCAACTGGTTCTATAGAATTAAGTAACTAAACGTTGAAGAAGGTGAAGTTGGGAACAGTGATAAGAATGAGTAGGAATGTAAAATTGGTGAGTGAGGAGCTGTGGAGAAAATAATCTGACTTAGAACATGAAAACGTTACTTATCCAGTTTTAAGACATATAAGGTCCATTTTAGGTTCAATGGCTAAACAAACTTCTTTTTAAAGAATTCGCTATTTAACCACTGGACGGACTATTATTTGTTATTAAAACATAGGGAAGCGAGATAGAGACACTGTGCTACAGCCGGATGGGTATTTTGAGTTAGGCTTTCAGAGGTGGAATACTCACCAACAATATCTCACGTGGTCTGGGGTTCGAATCTCGGCCTGTGCATTCCTAGACCTCGCTTAGCGGGTATCATGCTCAGATAACAACAGCAATTATCAGTATTGTTACCTCGGGTTCCAAATGGGACATGCGGCTTCATCAGCCCATCTCCAGTCTGTCCCAGTTTCTGCCATCCTCTTTATCTGGTTCCATGACTCCCCCGTAATCTTCTCAAACTTAAACGATCTCCTGCATCTTACCCTCAAACCGGCGACGCACTCATTGTTTCCCATTGGGATTTCACTATAGAGATGGTCTGGTACCCGATGTTTATCGACTGTTTCCTCTATTCATACCTGATCCATCTTCATTTTTTCCTACATATTTGTTGACCGATGGGTTCTAGGTTCGTTTGTTCATCGCCAGAATTTCTTGTTGCTAATTATTTCTGGCCAGCAGGCCATCTGATCTTCAGCATGGAGCCAGTGAAGGCAGCTGTTAACAGAGGTCTGAATCTGTTGGAAACTCTTTTCATGACACGCAGTGCACGTTTCTGACATACATAGAAGGACCAGCTTGACATGTGTTGAAAATCCGGATCTTGTTCTTTATGCTGGCTGAGTCAAAGTAGAAGATTTCCAAACTGGTTTCAGATTGATGAAGGCCTGAATATCTTGTCTTTCCGATTCTAGTTGGCTGGCTTTGACATATTCATCCGTTCCATGTGTCTGTTGTTAAGACGATGCTTTCCAGATAAGTGAAAGAAGTGACCTCTGTTGAATCTCTTCCATTGATGGTGATTGGTTTCTGGTTGTTGTTGTTGTGGTTCCTTGGTTATCTTAATTCATTCCGCCTTCTCTAAGTGCAACTGCAGTCCTGTCTTCGCAGCCAGTTTGCTTCCTTACCCAGTTTGTTGGATTTCGCCTGCCCCTATGTCTTCAACTATGTGTGACATTAAACACTAGCCATCCATGCGTGAAATTCAGATCGTCCAGAGTCTCCCTATCGATCCAGTATATTCCTGTCTTCTCACAATCTGACGCATAATCCATTCAGTTCACCACAATTAAGAATATCATCGTGAGTGATAGCAGGCAGACAGGCTTGTCTTACTCCTGTATGCATTTCGAATGCCTTGCTGAGTTTCCCGTTGTGGATCATATGGCATCTGTCATCGTTATATAGCCAGCTGTTGAGTGAGGTTGATAAAGACTTAGGCACTGCGCGCTGTAGTGGTGAAGTAGTCTCCAAATGACTTCTCGGTGAAGACTGTCTGTTGAAGGTCTTTTCGAATTTGATGAAAATGAGGTAGAGCCACAGTTGAGTCTGATTCTATCCTTTGTTTTATGGCGACAATACGCACATGATTTGTCTTTACTGAATCCAGCTTATTCCCATGGGTGGCGGAGTTCTGCATCCAATTTGTCTTCATTCTCTGCCGGATGATGCGACTCAGTGTTTTACTCAGTGTGGACAAGAGCACGATTCCACGCTAGTTCATAC